AAAAAATGGAGTCTAAGAGTATTGCAGTAACAAAAATTCTTTGAAAATGAAAACAGACAGTTTCTGACAATTATTACAAAAGGAAAGACTTTCGAGCATTGTGATAAACTTTTATGCAAATATTGGTTACCTATAATTACCTGTCTGGTGATGCAAACATGGATTTTTTAGACTTTTTAAAACCCTTTCGTTTGGGAGAAACTGAACTCTGATTTCTGTTTTCCTGACATATTTGCTCCACTGTTTTCTTTGATGTTCCTGTTAGTTTCATTGTGCTTTCATATACATCTTCATCCATTTCATGAGTCACAGCAACAAGATGTTTTGTCTTTTTGCATTGTTTCAATGTGCGTTTGTTAGAAACTCGTTTTCTATGTGGACCAAATTCGATGTGTGATCTTAAACTTTTTTGTGAATCAGAATGAATGTGTTGAGTATTATTTATCATCTTTAAAGTTAATTTATCTTTTTTATCACAAAAGGATGATTTTGCTTTCTTGGAAAGTCTTTCTGAATCAGAGAGTTGACCTTGAGAAATTCTCTGAAATGTTTGATTATTTTTAATCATAGATGAGCCACTGGATGAGGTGTAGCTTTCAGGGTAAAACGTCTTGGGATATTTACCGCAATCTTGCCTTGTTTTAGAGATGGGAACACATTGTAGCTGTGCTGAGTCACTCACACTTATCCAGTCCTTTGAAAACTCTTGATGTTTAACCAAGTTCATACTACCCATGGATTCTTGTGTGTTCACAATGCCTCTTAAATGACTGTATTTATGGGTGTGAAGCTGAATAGGCAGCCACCTTGTTTTATTCAGCTTAGCCAATGATGGTGTCAATGATGGGTCAACAAAAGATTGGCTAATCAATTCTGGGCCTACAGCCGAATTGGACTGGTCAAGACGTGATGTTGATAATTTGCTAAGTAGAGCTGATCGGTAATTTGAAAGATGTTTCCTGACTCGTAAGAACCGTGGAGGCTGTGCTTTGATGTGATGTCTTGCTACACGTGTTGAGCACATTATGGTACGCTGTACATTTCTTAACTTTTCTATCATTTGTCTCTTACTAGGCAGAAAATGAAAAGATTGTTCTTTTGATTCATGTTGTAGGTAGTTTTTAGGAGCGACAAATGAATTTCGAATGGTATCCTCTCTACCAGCTTTCTTGTTAGAATCTCTGCATTTTATGTAAGTTTCCTTTCTGCCATGATCCCTTTGCATGATGTTATAGTGCTTCTTGTAATATTTCCTCTTAGCGTTGTTCATGTGAGTCTTATGTCGGCTGGGGAAGCAGCTTTCACTGCCATTAGACAACTTACTGCGCTGCTGTCTTCTGTTATAATGTTGACTTTTTACCAGACTCCCATCTTTTAAAACATAATAAAATTTGTTATCAGATATGATGCTATCCGTGGACACAGATGGTGCGTCGATGTTGCTAGTTTCCAAAGGGTATTCATTTATGTGTAATCCATGCCTTTCTACTACTTGGTAAGGGCTTTTATTTTGCACATAGGGGTTTAAATGTCTTTCAGTTCCAATCCCGTATGAATTGTCAATCTGGTAGGTTCTCCCATTATACATGCATACACATGGTTTATTTGACTGCTTTTCTTGCTGCTTGTAATCCCATGTCTCACACAGATTATTAAACCTGCTTTCCAATTCAAAATTATTTGGATCAAAATCTTTCCCATCTTGTAATTGCCGTTCATGTAGGAAACGTTTTCTTTCTGTTTTCTGCTGTTGCCATGGGACTTGCTGTGTTTTGTAGATCACCTGCTGTTGCCTTGTGAAATGTTTTGCATCGTAGACCTCCTGCTGTTGCCCAAGTGGATGCCATGTTTTGTTGATCTCAAGTTCACTGTCCACAAACTTTTTATTGCTTGATATGTCAACTTCACTGGAACTGCTGATTGCTACATTGTTACCTTTTTCACTTTTTCTTTTATTATGTTTATTCCTTGAATGTTTTCGCCTTCCCTTATTCAGGTTTATGTTTCGTTTTCTTGAAAAGTCACAAACTAGATGGTGAAAAGGAGTTGAAAAGTGCCGTATGTGGCGCAATTTCTTCCCACCACTCTTAAGCTCCTCAAGTTGAATGTCGCGCATGAAAATATCCCCGAATCTGTTGATTGATGTTGTTTCAGTAAAATATTTGGAATGTTTGTGTTCAGGATATTTTTTTAATTGCATATACCGAGGCTTAGAATGCTGAGACTTATGTTTGAACCTTCCCTTTTTGTCTCTTACACCTTCCGCAGGACCTGGCTTCTCCTCCTGACCTAACTGAACTATTGTAATGATATTGTGTTTACAAATAAACTTCCAAAACATATTGATACCGTCATCAGTGGTAGGAGAGTTTATGAGAACAAATTGGTTCTTTCTTCTGTAGCCATCAATAAACACTGGGTGTAGACCAAGGAATTCATCCGTAATTATTTTTTCTGCTGACAAGTTCTGTAAAAATAATTATTTTAAAAAAATAATAACTTAGGGTAAAAGTGATAGAACCATCTTCGCTTTATCATAATTAGACTAATGGGGAAGGGATCATGCAAAAAGAGAAAGACTCGAAGTTTATCTGCCCAAAAAATTCCTATCAAGACATCTTTTATCAAAAGTATTAAGTAAACGTCCACATGGTCACTAAAGTTAAATCTTGAACTCTAATATCAACAGTGTCCAGAAAAAGTTCACCTTTGCTCTGTTTATTTTTACTTTATACTCTCTATGATCAAACTGTCTGGCAATACTAAGATCATCACATAGGAAGTCCAACGTAAAGAAATTTAAAATTTCAAATTGGTCCTGAAACGAAATAATGGCAAATAATGTTTTTTGGACACTTTAAAAATGAATAAGTCTGAAAAAATGGTGGTTCTTTATTCTATGAACCCTAACCGTAACCCTAGATCCTGCTTTATTCTATCAACCCTAACCGTAACCCTAGATCCTGCTTTATTCTATCAACTCTAACCATAACCCTAGCTCCTGCTTTATTCTATCAACTTAACGTAAATTTAACTTTCCAGTTGTTCATATTAACATTGAAAAATCACAATTGAAACGGTAAACAAATATTTTTTTTAAAGCTGTGAAGCTGTAGGAACTCTTTTTTAAAAAAAATGAATGTAAAAAATAATATTAAAACAATTTTAGACAGGTAATTAGTAGATTTTTAAGGTAAGTTATTTTTTTAAACAAAAGCATTTTTTTAAATTTAGAACTGCTAACTTCCAGTATGTACACCAAAAACTTTAAAAAAATATATACCCTGAAGATCTAAAACTACCTCTATGTATGACCTTCCTGTTTTTGGATTGAGTTGGCCCAGATTAATAATTGTGTTTTGCAAGCCTTCATCTAAATCACAGTTTGTATCTCCTGCTTCAAAATCTTCCTGGATTATTTTGTAAATAAATACATATTGATCCAAGGTTCGAACCTATCAGAAGTAAGATAATAAATACATACTGATCCATGGTTTAAATCTATAAAAAATAAGAAAATCAAAGAAAATTTATTTACAATAGTTAGAATTTTTGTTTGTCATTTGAGGAGTCTTAAATAAATTATTTTGGAAGGGATCATGGCATAATAATTCTTTATTTTTGTTTATCATTTGAGGAGTCTTAAATAAATTATTTTGGAAGGGATCATGGCATAATAATTCTTTATTTTTGTTTGTGAAATACCTTTTGATTTATTCAGACCTTTAGGTCGAGAAATTTTACCACCTAGATGAATTTAGAACAGATGTCGACTGATAAAATGATTGAATGTTCATTAACAGACAATGCATCCCTGAGGTACAAATTTGAACATGTTACAAAACGGTGTGTCTCGACACAAGCTCGAAATAGCTCATTGGCTGGAGAAATGGGGTGTCTGAATATTCAAGTAATACAACAGAGGATAGAGTATGGGGTAAGGGGGATGGGGTAAGGAGGATGGGATATAGAGGATGGGGTATGGAGGATGGGGTATGTAGGTTGGGGTATGTAGGATGGGGTATGTAGGATGGGGTATGTTGGATGGGGTATGTAGGATGGGGTTTGAAGGATAGGATAAGGGTATGGAGGAAGAAGGATGGGGAAAGGGGTATGGAGGATGAAACATTGGCTATGGAGGATGGAGTATAAGTATGTCTTAGAGGTGTTTTCAGTGGCTATTTGCCGATTGTTATATATTTATAAAAAATAATACAGCTTTCATTCATAATACAATAATTGACCTTGGCTCTAACCATATCTATGGACCTTAACCATAACCATAGCTATAGACATTACCTCTAACCATAGCTATAGACCTTACCCATAACCATAGCAATAGACCTTAACCCTAACCATAGCAACAGACTTCATTTCTTTTCAGACTCAATTAAAAAGCTGTATCACTAGAAACTGCAATCATAAAACATTTTGTTCCAATACTCCTTAAATAATAATTCAACTAGAATTGGTTTTGGTTATATCAATATACATTTTTATATACTGGCAAGCAAAATGAAAAAACAAAACTAATGTGCTTATAGACATAACATTATGCCTATTATCAGTTACACAAAAGAAATGATTATTTTTTAATTTAGCTGGTCTTATAAATCTTGCAATGTACTGTTGCACACACAGATTTTTGGGACCCAGGCATATCACATTCATTAATTTCTCATTCTCTGACAAGCAGTATTAGAAGCCACAGCCAAAGAATATCACTGTTGCATAAACTGGATATTTTATGGCGAGGCATGTTTCTATTTCTATTTTAAAAGTATTTTTAAATACTATAATTTAATATTTCAAATATTAACATATATTATTTTTATTAATAATGCAAGAAGAGCTAGCCAATTTTAAGCTCAAATAAATATCATCCAATCTATCCCTGTCTAGGGTAATGCTCACCATCATGGATCTGTCTCTCCTCATATTATTAATACATGTATAGACGCTGACGCCACCATTCTCCTCATACTCATCAATGAGAATATCTGCAGCAATGAAAATGGAGGTCCGAGATATCCCAGTACCACAATGGACAAGGATTGGTGAGCACTTACCATGATGACAGCAACGAATCTGCATATAAATACAGCATACATTTCCGTGTGTAGTGAACAGATTTTCATGTTAATTATATATGTGCTACAACTTTTAAATTACTACTGATACATCATAAAGGCAACTATATATTATTTTTGTTAAATATATTTTAACAACAGTCATATATTATATTATCCCATTTCAGTTTTCTATTCGATGTCTCATATTTTAAACTGGTAACATATAATATGTGTTACATTGCTAGCTCGTAGCAAGGTAGGAAATAAGCAGATCAATTTAAAAAATTACAGGGTTGGGCTTTGATTACAATTACAGAATTTAGAACCAAACAAACTGGTCCCACTTGTCATACAATGTGAAACCCTATATGAAAGACTTGTCCCTTAAAATCTAGCCATCACCAACCTTGTATCTCATATCTAATAGAGGAATTGGAGTCGAAGGGAAACCTCGCGGTGGCCATGCAGTGTATTGAAATTGTGTGATTTCTCGACAAGTCATTTCAGTGTTCATTTTCAGCTTGATTGTTCTTTTTCATGAAAAAAATACATTTTTAAAATGATTTACTATTTTCTGAATTGTAATTGTACGCATCAGAAAGGTATCATTGGTACATTGCCAGCTTATTAAGAAAATATATACATCCATAAAAGATATATTTGACTCTTTTTGGCATATTCCTTTCCGAGGACGTTATATTATTTAAGATATTTTCCATCAGTCTGATGATGACAGTCTGGTCACATAAATACAATCTGATTTTATTACTATTTTAATACTATTCACTGCATGAATGATAAAGATGTTTTAATGTGCAACTTTTTGTAACTGCATTTATGTAACATTTTTATATGTAGCAGGGTGCTACCTATAGGCAAAGAAGCACGTTCCTGTGGCACGATATTTTTACCCCAGGCGTGTTCACATTCACTCAGCGGGGCCTGCCTGTCCCATGTGGTCATCATTGTGACAGCATAAGGCAGGTGGGATTTAAATCCGGAGCTTGTACTTTCTGAGCTTTGATCGAGTAGTCAACTGTGTATGATACTGAGTGTTGTGTACAATTATATTGTCTGTGAAAACGGTCACTTCGATTAGGCTGGATACCACAAGAATAAAAGCTATAGTTTTCAAAACTACATTTCATTGTTTGTGTATTTAAACTGTAAGCCACTCCACCACACCGCTATACACATTATATATATATATATATCTATATATTGTGTACTGTGGTCCTTGGAGTAAATCAGTTGAAGATGTAGTTTAGTTGTGAAATAAAGATATTTTATTATAAGAATATACCGTTTGTGTAATTACTAAAACCCATACACTGAACGTAGCAGACAGAACGTAGCAGACAGAACGTAGCAGACAGAACTTAGCAGACAGAACGTAGCAGACAGAACGTAGCAGACAGAACGTAGCAGACAGAACGTAGCAGTCAGAACGTAGCAGTCAGAACGTAGCAGACAGAACGTAGCAGACAGAACGTAGCAGACATAACGTAGCAGACAGAATGTAGCAGACAGAACGTAGCCATCGAACCTTTAAGTAAGAACTGGGTTATAACACATGTATGTTATATATTTATATATTCCAAGGTCACTTCTTCTGAAATTTTGTCAAGATTGTCCAGTATTTAATCATGCAACTCTAATAATATAAACATTTAGTCAAGAAACTTTCAGACTAAGCAGCGGCGTAGCGTGGTGGGGGCAGGAGGACAGATGTATTCCCGGGCGCCAGCTAGTTAGGGGCGCCAAAATGTGCTTTGATATTATTTTATTTATGAAAATAATGGGTTTGAGAGTTGAAAAGAAGAAAAGGGGGCGCTAAAATGGATCTTGTCCCCGGGCGTGAATCTTGTCCCCGGGCGCCAAACAACCTCGCTACGCCACTGAGACTAAGTGACTAGAATTTTGTATGCAAATGTTTCTCAGTGCAAAGACGCATCAGAACATTTTGTAACAATAGATATAATGAATGCAATTTGGGTTCAACTTGTTTACATATCAAACATTTAATGTTAATAAGAACCAGAAATCTGTAGATTGCACTTGACAAACAATGGAACATTTGTAAATAATATCCATTGCCTTTTGTCTACAATTGAAATGAAATGGATCACATTGACAAACAAGAATAAGACACATTCTAGTCTGAGGCCGACCAGCAAAATAAATGGCTAGACCAACTGGTCAGAATGCCAGTGAACCAAGATACACTGCCTGCCTACAGTAGTAGGCCCTCCGGCTTCACTGCTAGAGTAAGACCACACAGGCAGTAGCAGATAGATGGTGTCCAGAATAGCCACAACATGACACTCTAGCAGTTTTCACCTTTTGTGCAGATTACCCACTCTAGCTACACATAACAAGGTCCCTGATTGAAGTAGAACAAGAAATATATTTTATTTTTAAAATATACTTTGTTGACAAATAGTGTCATCACCTTATGGTAAAGTCGGAGTAGATCATTTGCTTTACAGTCTGCAGGAGGAAATTTCCCAATGTGCTCACTGTTTCACTACAAGGTGGCCAGTACTCAGCACACTTGATAATATCACTCTCTACAACATTGGTCATCATAACAATGATCTCTATGTTTTGCTGGTAGATCATCCTTCAATATAAAATAAATTAGTTAAACTTCATGTTAAAGACATTAACCCCAAAATAGCCAATGATTAAAATGTTCAATATTTCGTTCGAGTCGATGATTATCTTTAAAAAATGAAAAGTTCACACCCATTTTTTTCCATAGAATTACAAAATTAGCCTATGTATTTTTATTTCTTTTGTCCTACTTTTATATGACCCAAAAGTATTTTCCATGTATGCTTTCATTTTTTATTGATAAGGAAAAATAAATGTACCCATGAGAGAGGCCAAAAAATGCAATAGTTATAATGCTGGAGTATTAACCTTTAGATAAGTTTTAATTAGCTATTATCTTTTTATCTTTTGACAGCAACTTAAATAGCTTAAATGTTACTTCCAAAATGCAAGGACTGTGGCATCATTGAATGGACTCATAGACGCAATGTATCCAATGTGATATCCATTAATAAAGTTTGCATGTATAACTGTGTTACCACTGTCTGTGTCTGGTTTAAGGACCACTCGACTGTGTTCACATAAATGAATATGAGGAAAGCTGAAAAATAAAATGTTGGTTAGTCTCGTGATAAGGAGTAAGGCCTTATTCATAGAAAACATTTCGTTTATGAAAATATTACATCAATAAGTTAAGCATTTAACACAATAAATAGTGTATTTACATCTCATAATAATTTCTATCCATGATCACTTACTCATTTGAATTATAATGGGGTTTATTTAAATTTTAAGAGTGCATAAATCTATTTCTCACAAAAAATACAAAGAAGTTTATAATATTTGTATTTTTTTTAATTAAATATTTTTAAAAAGTTCAAACTCAATTTAATTGTGTTACTAACCGGTTGACGTCACTCCCTAAAATGAGTGCATTTGTTGAAACATTTTGTCGACCCTCTGTAAGGCTCAGGTATTCATCTCTAAATGTTAAACCTTTCATATCATCATCCTTATCACGCAAGTAGTTTTGTGCTGCTGGAATTAGCCCATCATGGTCCATCAGATTTTCTCTTTTGTCGACTAGATATCTAATATCAATCGAAGATAGATCGAAATATAACTTTTTAGATCAATTTCAGGTGAGAGACAAATTTAATTGAAACCATGGCAAATGTGATTATTTTGCATTTGTTTCTGCCATTGATATCATTATGAATGAGTGAATAACTAATGGAAGACTATTGATATAGTTAATATTCTCCGCATTTGGGTGACTGGATGGCCGAATGGTGTAAACGGAGCAAACCTCAAGTTGGTGGTCAGTCAAACAAAAATGTCACTAGCACCCCGGGTAGATGGGACTCGTTAACCTTGGTCAGCAACTCATCTAAGAGAAGGAAACTCTGAATCCAAACCTGGAGTTGGAGCTGTGTACAAGGCATGTACAAAGAAACAATCCAACAACACCTGCATCCGTATCCATCCCTGGTCGTCTTGCAATAGTTTTGCCACTGGACATGGTGAATGAGATTGATGGACGAACAACAACGACAACATTCCCCGAGCATATTATATAGAGTATAACGACTGACCAATCTGATGAATTATGTCATTTAAGTGACAGATTTGGTCTATTCTATTTTGAAGTGAAGGAGATGTAATGAGATTATTAAAGGAATTAATATTTTAATTATTCAAAGTACATTTATCCCTTATTTATGTGCAATCACATATTTCTTCTTTTGGATATTATTGGGAATGTTTCAATTACAAACATCTGGACTTCTAATAAAAACTTAATAAAACAGTGATTTAATTTATGCTGGCAGCGATTCAAACATTTATACTGATATCCGTGACAGTTTCTTGAATGCATTTACTTTTTTCAATCATTTTTAACATTTTTGCCAGTGATATGCCAGTTCTTTGTTAAGTTTAATTTGTTGGCTAAATGTGGAAAGTCTTGGTAGAACTTAAAAGTAGATAAAAAAAAAACAGCAAATGTTGCTAGCTCCTAGAAACGTTCTTAGGTTTATTGTTGACTGAGGCAGGGGCGTCATTTGGGTAGGACAGGGTGGGCCATTTGCCCCCTCTCCCCCACTGAATTTTTTCAAGTTTTTATGTACTTATGATGCCTTCAGTAATATGTTACTTAACAAGCCAACCAAGTTTTGGTTTTGACCCCTCCCCCCCTTCCCCCAACACCATGAAAAAGCCTGAAATGACGCCCCCTGGCTTAAAGTAGAGATTTTTGGTAGAAGATAAAGGTACATAAAAAAACAGCAAATTTGAAAGCTCCAAGAAACATGTCAAAGAAATGACCACTTTATCTATAATTAATTTTATATTTTTTTTGATTAAATGAAATAAACCCTGGGACAAGAACTATTTAGGCTTGAAACAAAATCAATCAAGGATTTTTTCTATACTAAAACTAAGTGAACATTTTATTGCAGTACATCCTATCCCCACTGAAATCAAAATAATCTAATTTTAATTTCTGACTTAAGCTTTACTTTATCATATTTCTATGAAAGACGTTTACAAAGATGAAAACTAATGTTTATACATAGTAAAATTAAAATTTCACAAGAAATAATGAAAATGTTTAGGACAAAATTAAAGTTTACAGAAAAAACTTATTTCGTATTTTAACAGAACAAAAGAGCCAATATAATTTTAAAACAAAGAGGGCATCTTTTAAATTCAATATAACACAATATTGAACACAAAAATAGAGTTGAAAAAACTGAAATAATGAATAATAAAAATACACAATTAACTTCCTTCTAGCATTGTTTTAAAAATCTAACTAAATCCCCAGATCCCTTAAAGCAGAATATAAATCCCCAAATCCCTTAAAGCTGAATCTAAATCCTCAGATGCTTTAAAGCTTATACTTAATCCCCAGATCTCTTAAAGCTGAATATAAATCCCCAGATCTCTTAAAGCTGAATCTAAATCCTCAGATCCCTTAAAGCTGAATCTAAATCCCCATATGTTTTAAAGCTGAATCTAAATCCCCACATCCCTTAAAGCTTAATATAAATCCTCAGATGCTTTAAAGTTGATACTTAATCCCCAGATCTCTTAAAGCTGAATCTAAATCCTCAGATCCCTTAAAGCTGAATCTAAATCCCCAGATGCTTTAAAGCTGAATCTAAATTCCCACATCCCTTAAAGCTTAATAAATATCCTCAGATGCTTTAAAGCTGATATTTAATCCCCAGATCTCTTAAAGCTGAATCTAAATCTCCAGATCTCTTAAAGCTGAATCTAAATCCCCAAATTCATAAAACTCAACCTAAATCCCCAGATCCCTTAAAGCTGAATCTAAATCCCAAGATACTTTAAAGCTGAATCTTAATCCCCAGATCCATTAAAGCTGAATCTAAATCACCAGATCCCTTAAAGCTCAATATAAATCCCAAGATACTTTAAAGCTTAATCTAAATCGCCAGAGCTCTTAAAGCTGACTCTAAATTCCAAGATCCCTTAAAGATGAATCTAAATCGCCAAATCCTTTAAAGCTGAATCTAAATCCCCAGATAACTTAAAGCTGAATTTAAATCCCTAGATCCTTTAAAGCTGAATCCTGGTGACATGATTTGCTTATTTCCCTCTTTGAAAATGTAAAAAGCAAAAATAAATTAATAAAAAAAAGAGTAAAACTGCCATGTATTTTTATAAATATATACATTTATTGATAAGAAACCAATCAAACTCCATTTATTTATTTTTTTTTAAATTTGCAAAAATGTGTCTTTACTTTAAATTTAAAGCACATTAAATTAACCTGGGATGTGAGGTTTAGAAATGGTAACTTAAAATATCGCTTTAGCAAAATAGTGGAATGGCTAGAGCAACCGTTCCAAAACTATTGTTCACAAGCGCCTAAGGATCTGTGAAGCTCTTCTTTTGGAGTCCAAAATAGTATGCGAATTACCAAGTTCATCAAATTGCTTGTTAATATAATTTAAAGGTTCACCTACTTTCATTTTTAGACTAAAAAATTGTATAATATTAGTTCTCTTTGACTTTGGTAAAAAACAACAAAAGAAAAACAACCTGAGCTTCGTGGCCTAACCTTTTTGATTACACCCACCTCTTACTGCTGACGTCATAGATTCTGTTCCAATGTGACTCAGGTTTATGAGATTGACGAAGATAGTTAGGCAGGGTCATGTCTTCGTCCACAGAGTTATCAGTGGTCTCTATGTTGACATCACCTTCATAATCTGAACTTTCTTCTTCTTCTTCTTCTGGCTTTGGCCCGTCCTGTTTCTCCACAGTATTCACTTTGTGTTCAGTCTTGGTAGGTAGTTCGTTATTTTGTGGCAGGAAAGGTGGAATAAGAAATGGTGGTGGTGATGGCTGGTACATGGGGTATGGAAACATTGGATACTGTGGTGGGGGAGGTGGAGGGGGCTGCATTTGATACATGTTACTTGAGTAGGCTGATGGCTGTGCGCCTCGATAGATGAGCCCAGCATCTCCTTGCATGTTGGATGGTGATTTCGTTAGGAAGTCTTTTGGAAGTTGAAGTCTAGGAAAACAGTAGAATATATTTTATAAATAGATGGCTCATTTAGAAGTGTTTCAAAGTCTTTGAGTCATACGATATGTGGTGGTGTTATAAACCAGAATAACATTCAATTCAATTAAATTTTGGTAAAATGTAATATCTTTTCATTAAGTTAGGTATTTTCGTTATATTAGTTATATAATCACTCCTTGATAACCATAACCTTAACCAAAACCCCAACCGTTTAAACAATCACTGCTTGATAACAGTAACCAGTTAAATAATCATTGCTCGATAACCCTTATCCTAACTCTAACCAGTTGAATAATCTTTGTCTGATAACCCCAACCCCAACCCAAACCCAAACGGTTAAAAAATCCCGCTTAATAACCTCTACCCTAACCCAACCAAACCAGATAGATAATCACTGTTTGATAACCCTAACCTTAGCCAAATGATGAAATAATCACTGCTTGAAAAAGTAAAAAAAACAACACTAATCAAATAAAATAATGTAGCTCGGCATAGTATCCACATTAACCACACAAAAATTGCATAATCAAAGCAGATAAGAGAGTGAAATCAAACAAATAAAGAAACCAAACCTTATTTCACAACAAAGCAACTAATCCAACCAATACTAGAATTGAAACCAAAGTAAACACGTCAGAGGTCCAGCTTACCTCAAGTCATCAAACTGATCATCATCAAATGGCAATTTGCGCTTGCTTTTGGAACACCACAAGACAAAGCAGCCCAGCAGACAAATAAACAAACATGTGGCCATGAATGCACCAGATAGAATAACGAAAATAGGAGAGAAGATTTTGTGAACTCGGGCAGCGGTAGTGACATTTATTGAGATCCAAGAATGTTTTGTGACATCGGCTACTGAACTTAAAACAGACAACACAACCTAAAGAAGATTTTCAACATAAAAGTTTAAATGTTTAATTTTAGGAACACTGGACTATTTTTTAAAAAAAATTGCAAATAGAGATGTTGTGCTGAGATTTTTTGATTGAATAAACTTTCAGTTATGTATGGAACTCTATCCAGATTGGAAAACTAACTTCTAATATCCACATAGTGACAAATGGGGAAAAGAAGAAATTGTTTATATAAAACTGCAGCTTAAAGAACTTAACTGTTGTTTTGTAACAGTAACACTGTAATACATTTGTTTTGTAACAGTAACACTGTAATAATTTTGCACGTATCCCTGAAAAGCTAATTTTGAGAAGGAAATATCTTTAAATATCAAGTGAATATAAAATATATTGTGAACACATTGAATACTCAGTTATGTCCTTAGAAAATGATGAACTTAAATGAACAGAAATTAAAAAGCATGAAATATTTAAAAAAGCTAACTCCCATTAATGACCGCATTCATTATTATCTTAGAGTCAAAGTAGGATCTAACCCTAACCCTAGCTAATGACCAAATTCATTATTATCTTGGAGTCAAAGTATGAACTAAAATGGTAGTTGCAATCGTAACAAACATTCACCTCGTATTCAGTGCTTGGTTCGAGGGGTGGGTTAGGTATGCCACCATACTCTACATGATTTCCTAGGGTAATATTTTTAGGCATACCATCAGTGAAATGGGCAACTTGGTATCCTGGTGGCAGTCCAAGTCTGCCAGGATCTGGTATGTTTGTTGGGCTCTGTCAGAACAATCAATGTAGGATAGCTTGAAAAAAAATAGTGCCTTCTTAATGTGTATAAAGTATTTTTTTTTAATACATTCAAGAGTCCCAAATGAATTGAACAATTTACAATTCTATCTTGTTTTAGTTATGTTGTAACAGTCAATATTTCTCAACTAATCACAGTATTTTTCTCAACTTAATAATTGTCAAACTTAGCACATGAAGTTATCAAACCTGTCGTTTGGCTCGATCAAGCGACAAAAAATCCTCAAACATGTCCAAATACAGTTTAGTTTTTCTCTTCCTGTTTGTTTCCATGATTTTATCAATCCTCAATCTAAGCTCCTCCAAAATGTCCTCTGTCATGTTTGTTAGATTGGATAACAATGACTGTAGATATAAAATGTCCTCTCTAATGATGGTTAAATTAGATAACAATGACTGTAGATATAAAATGTCCTATCTAACGTTTGTTAAATTAGATAACAATGACTGCAGATATAAAATGTTCTCTCTAATGATTGTTAAATTACATAACAATGACTGTAGATATAAAATGTCTTCTCTAATGATTGTTAAATTAGATAACAATGACTGTAGATATAAAATGTCCTCTCTAATGATTGTTAAATTAGATAAAAATGACTGCAGATATAAAATGTCCTATCTAACGTTTGTTAAATTAGATAACAATGAAGGTAGATATAAAATGTCCTCTCTAATGATTGTTAAATTATATAACAATGACTGTAGATATAAAATTTCCTCTCTAATGATTGTTAAATTAGATAACAATGACTGTAGATATAAAATATCCTCTGTCATGTCTGTTATATATGATAAGTCCTCTGTCATGTCTGATATAGTGGATAACAATGACTGTAAATATAACATTTCCTCTGTAACTTTTGTTATATGGGACAACATTGAATATAAAAATAAATGTGTCTTCTGTCATGTCTTTTTTGATATTGGATAACAATAACTATAGATTTAATTGCATTGATTGGAAAAAAAAAATTTATAGGAAAAAAATGAAGATTTTATTTATTTCCACTATTATTTGCTCATCATCCAGACAAGAAGGGCCTACTTCTAAATTCACCCAAATGAGGCTTTAATTGGGGAATATGTGTTGCCTGTTCTGGCTGTTAACTTAATTTACTAAAATGTAAAAAAAAATGTTTTCTTTAATCCACATGTGAAATATACATACGAAATAACTACTATTATTCATAAGATTCATTTGTTTTAGTATATTGATAAAAATTCAGGAAGTGAAATGTTACCTGTCCATAATAAACAAAATCTTTGATTTCCTGGTAGCGGTTGTAGCGTAGCAAGTTCTGACCCAGCTTGGTGTTGTTAAAGTAAGGATGACGTACACCATAATGGTCAGTGATCAAAAAGCCAAATCTGACCAAATAAAATGTTCTTTGTGATGTTTGATTTATACAAGTGAGATAAATGATTTCTTACATTTATGGCCACAATATTTACTGTACAACAAACTACTGCAGGCAAACTTTGAGTTATGTAACTTACTTTGAACACATATATCTTTGAAAGTCATCTACTTACCCTGTTTTCACTAGGGTGGGTTGACTACCATTCTTACTGACCACTGTAATAGTCTGGTATGGGTCAATATCGAGCCCATCATCCGCTTCCTTCTGCCAGCTAGCAGCTGGCCACTTCCATTTCTTTAAAAAATTGAAAAATATTTATTAAACTGAAGAAGTTTAAAAATTTATGAACATTAGTAAATAATTATAGTTTTTGTTGTTTTAGTTAATCCAGATTTATCCGGTTGCAATGTTACTTAGCAATGAGTTTACGGCAAATGTTCCAATTAAATTGCTCTTAGATGACCCATTATTTTCAACTTGGACAAGATATGTTTGTACTGGTGAGCATCTAAGGGAGTTTTTTTGCCGGATGCTTTTCTCCTACAAAGGATGAATTGCTTACTGAGCTGAAGAGCCCAACCCATCTGAATTAAAGCTGGGGATGACCCAGGGTGAGATTTAAAAGGCAGACAAACGTTTCTTAAATAATGAAGGTTTTAAATGTATGTAACAGATTTCTAAAAAAAAATAATAAAACAATTAGGGCCTAGTTACCATTATCGTTATGTTCTGAGTACAGGCAGCTCGTGATTATTGGCAGCTCGTGATTATTGGCAGCTCGTGCATATTTGCTGCACCCTTTCTTTCCATTGTTCATAAACTCAAGTTTAAGTCCTAACCTTAACGTTAAGACCAGTATTAAACCTTAACCCTAACCATTCAGCATAAACACTAGTTCTTGCGAATTTTTAAATTTTTTTTTTGCTTGTTATTATTGTTGTAGTGTACTAAGTGTTAAGCCCACCCTATTGGGGTGAAAAGTGTGGCTTTTTTTTCGGAATCTGCTTGCGTACTTATCAAATTCATTATATATTTTTGGATATGTTTCTGGCAAGAGAAAACTGAATCGAACAAAAACTAACTTAGAACATTATAATACAGCACACAAAAACATGGAACATTGTAACATAGAAAAAAAGCACACATCAATAACAGTTTAATATTGCACTTACTAAACTCCTCTTCACTCTCACTGTCTTCCTGGCTCCTCTTGGGGCTATGACATCGACTGGCTCTAGTCTGACAGAAGCCAAAGTAGTATTGAGAACATGCCCAGCACTGTAGTTTGGAACACTTGGCCTAACTTTCTCAAGAGCTGGAGCTGGGATGTTACTGTTTGGCTTTAATTTATCCGAAGTTGTCCGATAAAAATTATCACCCTGTTTGCTTATAATTTGGCTTTCCTTTCCTTTATCTTTTGAAGATTCTTCCATGTTTAAAATAGTGTTGATGTCATTTACAAGATTAACTAGAATCCACATGTCCTCCAGGTCAGATGCAGGTGTTAATAGTTTGTGTACAATCTCTGGCCTGGAAAGCGTGTATATAGTTTCGAAATGTGGGTCAAGACCAAAGTCTAAATATACAGGTGGTATTTTGGACAAATTTAAAGAATTGTTTGGGGCAATGGCTGTGCTTAAAGTATCTGGTTCCAGCCATTCCCCCAGCACTTTCATGACATCATTGTACAACTCTTTTTTTTCTCCTTGATCTATGGTAACGCTTGTAACAAATTCTCTTGTGATTTGCTTGTCTGCAAAAAATCCTAGTGTTGGAGAGTCATCACGGTTTGAAAAAGTTTCTTTCATTGATTGCCGTGCAGCTCGAACCCACTCTTCCAAACTGCGATTTCCCAAGTTAGCATTCGAGATTTCTCTATTGGCTTTTTTTTCTCCCTCTTCGATGAAGATACTTTTATCACTTGCATCATCTTTGGTTTTAGATTCATTGCTTTTAGACTCAGCTGCCTGCTCAGCTGCTTCTGTTAAATGTTGGTCAGCATTAACGCTGATTTGATCTTTCTTTTCCATCAAGCGAAATAGTTTTTCCATGGAAGTGAATTTCCCTGGATTACTTTTACTGAGACCTGCATTAATAGTTTGATCTAGTTTGGTCATGTGATTGTAAAACTTAACTAACATCTTATAAGGGAACTCAACAGTGGGTACAAACAATTTGTTCCGACATTGCTCCACTGAATTTCTTTTACTCCTGAACAATAGATTTTGACAGGGCTCCACTGAACTTCTTTTACTCCTGGATATAACACGAGACCAGGGGCTAGAGTCTTCTTCTGGATCAGGTACACTTCTTTTGGGATTTAGTCGAATCTCAACAGCAGATAAGGGCCCATGCTTTAAGGTAACTTCAGGTAGATGTAGTGTCATTGTTGTCTCGCTTACAGACATCAAACTTTTCAATGGCGTTTTAAAAAAAAACAACATGTAATAAGATTAATGGCATGTTTGACTAAGATTATCTTACACTATATAATACAGATAACAAGTATTTAAAAAATATAAAATAGATAAAAATCAAAATGATTTTACTATGCTAAGTTAACTGGATAAACTGTTTTTTGGTCCTAAGTGATGCACAGTTTCTGCTCGTCTTTTTTGTGTTGATATTTTTAATACATTAAATACAAAATAAATGATTGCAATGTAACAGATATAGATTTAATTGTGTATTTATTAATCTCATGAGGTAACATTTTTTCCCCACAAAATTATAAATTAAAATAAAATATACTTCACAAACATTGGGGAAACTTTTAAGGTACTAATTGAAAGATATTGCCAAAGAATGAGATATAACAACTGCAAAGAATAAGTTTTCTAAAGTGAGAAGAAACAGACATACAGACACAATGAGAAGGGACAGAGATACTGACACAATGAGAAGTGTCAGACATACAGAAACAATGAGAAGGGACAGAGATACTGACACAATGAGAAGTGTCAGACATACAGACACAATGAGAAGGGACACAGATACTGACACAATGAGAAGTGTCAGACATACAGACACAATGAGAAGGGAAACAAATACTGACACAATGAGAAGTGACAGAGATACTGATACAATAAGAAGTGACAGAGATACTGACACAAGATCACCAGGAGTTGGTGGGACTTGATGTGTTGTCCACATAACTTCCACGGATGTCTCCTTAGAGTCTGTGTTCTGACCAAATGCAGTAAGGTTGACCATGTAAGGAGTGGCTACATTCAGGCCACATATGTTGTACTCGGAGGATGTACCGCCAATTACCTCCACCAATGGGGGGAGTTTCGGTTCTTCTATACTCATTACTTCCACCTGATGGAGAAATGCTTCCAGTCAATTTAAATATAGTCATTAACCCCTAACCCTAACCCTAACCCTAACCACCTGATCGAGAAATGCTTCCAGTCAATTTAAATATAGTCATTAAATCATTTTTTAAAATAATGAGCTTTGTAGTAAGGAAGTAATATTTTAACATATTTTTTATTAATAGTTTTAATTGTACTTTTTATCATATTACATCAGAAATAAACCTTTTTAAATCATAATCACCTAAGCTCCTGAAACAAACAATAAACTATTTAACAATTATATTAAATTTAAAAACTTAATAAGACAGTACATAACAGGCTTTTGTTTTCAATTTAATAAGTTTGGGGAGATTTGTAAGAACACCCTTAGCTTATAATAAATGGAATTTTAAAGATATGCTACTTATATTAAATGAAATTTTTAAATTCTAATTATATGTTAATATAATAAATGAAATTTGTATGATTGGTACTTATAATAAATGAAATCTTAAGAAATGTTTCTTGAGTGTTTATACTTTTACCTGATATTTGATGATGTTAAGAATATTGAATTTGGACCAAACAAAACCGAAGCATGAGTCATTAAATGTGATCTGGGTCAGGTTGACATGACCGTGGCCTGCTATTGCAATATAATAAAGAATAAGGTAGAATTGTATCAATAATGTAATAAAATAAGGCTTTGATTTAATTTATTAAGAACTTAAGTATGATGATAACCCAATATCATTTCTTTTAAAGTACTCAAATGACATTAACTTATTAAATGAGAACGTTAAATTCACTTGATTTGTACACTTTTGAATTAGGCCAATCATTTCCATAGAGCATTCCTTTTCAGATATATCAATGTCAACAAATTTCTTGCTAAATAAGCCAACCTAAAGATCTCCTAGCACGAGCTCTCATCAAAGCCTCCATTACATCTGGGTCATGTGACCATAGTTTGCCATCCAGGGACAAGTATTTCACTTTTTTCCCAAAGATGCCATGATCCTCAGATACTGAAAAAAAATCAACTTTTATTCTAGGTATGCTAAAAGTATGTTAGTTTTAATAATTTCATACATGAAGAAACTATTTCCCATTTTTACCATCTAATTTACACAAACTTTTTTTTTCTTAGAAAAAAATCAAATTTTTTTTTATAGCTTGAACCACAACTAAAGTCATGGCAATTTAATCAACAGATATATTAAATTATTACAGCATACAACACTATGTAGCCTAGTGATAAATATGCTTATGACATTCGATGATCAACAAAGCAAATACAGCATTAACAAAGTATAATATTTGACTGAAGTTTAACACACAGTAATATTCCATTAAACCACAAACCTCTATTGACCTGATAAACCAAGAATCCTGTTACAATCAGTGTTGTGAAGATGAAGCCAATAAACACATGGAAAAAGAATTTGGCATCTACTTTGATATAGTTCATTGTCTATATGTGAGATCAACGATGAAGACTCCGAGACTGATCGCCCTTTAGTTTGTATTTAATTGGACGACAGTTATGTCCAACGACCTGACCTTGACCTCATTAAAGAGATGTCCAACTTTCTGACTTTAATATAATTAAACAGATGTCCCAACTGATGACAGCCTTAAAAATATAACACAAAATAATTTTAAAAATTTCAAGGTAACAAATCAATCTTGCATTGAATTAATGCAGAGGGATAAATCTTTACACACACGTCTTGTAGCAAGAGATTGAAGGGTTAGAGTTTTAATTATTTTTATATTATGAGGTGAGGGATTTGGGAGGGTAGGAATTAAAATATTTAAGAATAAATTAAATGTGAACATAATTGGTCTTTTTAAAATATAGGCCCGTTAGAGTAAATAGTATGTTAACGTAATGCGTCTCTTTAGGATGATAATTTTAGCTAAACTCTAGTTGTAATCTATCATTCAATGTCTATGCAGTGCAAAACTTTGAAAACTACACGATAATGTTAGATTCACTGAAGCTGTCTGAACTAGATTTCTCAGATCTAAGGTAATCGTTCGTTGTGTTTAATACACTACATAGTACTACTTTTATATACTAAACAGTACTGCTTTTATACACTACACAGTACTGCTTTTATACACCACACAATACTGTAAGGAAACCTTGCTTACTCTCTGCTAACCTTCCATCTATATCTGGCATTTACTAAAGAACAACTCAGGCGATAACATTTAATGATTAAAATCTTGCTCTTTATTAGGCTGACTCTTCGCTTATACTTTCTCTCTGACAACTCTGACTGCCCTCTTCTCATACCATCCGGCCGCGCTCCCCGTCCCGTCCAGAGGTCCCTATTTATAGGTCCCTGGGTCTGTACTTGCGCCGCCTCTTTTCTCAGTCGGCGCCAGGTTACCCAGTCGTCCCAGGGAAACGCCCTGGTCAGATGCCCGGTACCGCCCCCGGCGCTTGATCCGTCGATCGTAATTTCTGGTCAGCTGGCGCCGGCTGTACCTGTCAGACAGCCGGTCGCCGTCGTGATCCGAACTCTCCACAATACTATATGTTCCGCACTATACAACACTGCTTTTGTACGTTTGTCGTGGTTAGTTATAACCAGCCCCACTAAATGAAACAAAAGTAATTTGACAAAAGATCGGCAGCATCTGATATATAAATAAATACATTTAAAAAACATCTTTTTAAAATTGTAATCTATCAAAATTATTATTACGATGGTTTACTTTTTCCAAAACTACGTCATGTAGTCGTACTGCCGAGTAACCGTAGCCATGTAGTCGTACAGCTGTGCAGCTGTACAGGCAGAAAAGTTATCCTTGTAAAAAAAATATGAGTATATTTTTGACACCCAGGGCGGCAAACGATTTTAAATGAGCTGGTTTAAAATTTGAAGAAAATGTAGCCTAACTCTAACCCTAACCCTAACCCTAACCCTAACTCTAACCCTAAACCCAACCTTATGCCTGCAGTATCTGTTACGAACATTTTGAAGCTAAAACATGAAGAAAAAACCTAAAGCAAAGCCAAAATTTCTAAGGCATAAATTAAGCATCAGGTAAAACAAAATAATGTAACCCAAAAGCAAAATATGTATTAGCTTAATTAAATAATTGCTACTCTTTGAAATACCACGGTGAACATCAAGAAGCAATGCGTATTTCGACTCACATAACAGACTAGTGTATTACTTGCGTATAGAAGACAAAACACATGAACATGAACTCTTGTCCATCCATTTTGTAAACAATGTGCACATTGTAAGCTACGTCACCACATTTTGTGACGTCAAAAATATCAACACAAGTTTAATGTTAATATTCTGTATAATATGCATTTCCTTTTGAAAAAATATATAAATTGGTTGTCACAAGTCAGCAGTAAAAATAATGATATCCCTATCCTTCTTACTTCAACTCTGTCTCAGAGCCGGGACAAAGAGGAGGTTACCGGGGTGCTTACCGCTGAAGAACACATAGAAGGAGAGACAAATAAATTTAGAAATAACATATCTCTTTTAAGTATATTTTTCTTCTACTGTGTCCTGCTTCCTTTTTAAAACTGCTTCCCC